TAGATTAGGGTTTATGTTGGTTGGTTGTTTGGATGTTTTAGGTGTTGATTTTGAGGTTAGAGATGAGAAATCATAGTTGTTTATGAGATATGGAAGTTGATTTATGAGTATTTTAGTATTTTATAGGTTTTTTGAATTATGAATGGAGTATGTATGGTGTATTTGTTGATTTTGTTATTAAGAAATGATTAGTTATTGATGTTTTTTTTAACAGTTATCAATGGCACGTAATGTATCATACATGCTTAATTTGTATCATACAAGAAAGTATGTGATAGAGAATGGTAGCATCAACACTTTTTCGAATATGCCGGATGATGGTTTGTTTGTTGAGGAAAGGTTGTCATATGAGGGATTGATTAGTAAGATTTGTATGACACTTGGTTGGGATCCAGCACACGTGAAACTCCACCTTTCTTTGATTTTCGATAGTCCCGGTGGTAGGCGTGTAGTGAAGATCAAGAATGATTCGCATGTAGAGTTCATGAATCGTGTAGATCCAATGTCATGTTTGGATTTATACATAGATTTGGAAGATATCACTCAAGAAGAAAGAGAAGCGAGTTTGGAAAATGAGTCATTTGGTGGTTTTCCAAGGGGGGAACGTGCTAGTACTTCTCGAAACCGTGATGAAGAGACACCTTTATTTGCACAAGATGACTACCGGGAAGAGTCGGATTCGGACTACATAGCTCCAAGTGAAAGCGAAGAAGACTGTGATGTCTCCGGAGAGAGTGATTTTAAAGAAAGTGACGATGAAAGGTTGGAAAATGAGGAAAGGGATTGTAATCCATTGCCCCGACGCCATGTATATAGTAAGATGGGGAAATGGGATGCCTCATGTGTGGACAAGGATGAGTTTGCTCTTAAGATGTGGGATGAGACGCCCGAAGGAATGGACATTGGTGTTTGTTTCAAATCTCAATTAGAAGCAAAGCATGCTGTGAAATTATGGAACATCCATCATAAAAGGGAATATACGGTCACCGCGAGTAGTCCAACGACGTGGGCTGTGCGGTGCAGAACATTTAATGTGGAAAGTGAGGATGGTGAACCACCATGTGAGTGGAAGATGCGTGTGTCTTTGAAAGCTCACGGCCTTCATGAAATTGTGAGATGGCATGATGCACATAATTACATGACTCCCGTGAATGATAATGACAATCGGTGTGTGGACGCGTCTTTAATTGCTAGACTCATCAGGAGAAAGGATGAGGACAAGGAAGATATACGGTAGCCTCAGCACAGAAAGATGTGAAGACCTTATTGAAAGTACATGTGCCATACAAAAGGGCATGGCACGGGAGGAGGAAAGCCATAGACGCGGTCTATGGTGATTGGACCTCGAATTTCGAAGAACTTCCACGGTAAATATCAAGGTTTATTCGTGTATTGAAATATTTTTAGTTTTTTTTTTACATGTATTGAAATATTTTAACTATGACTTGCTGTTGTGTAGGTATATCGCTGCACTTAAGTTTACTAATCCTGAGACTGTAGTAGAGTGGGAATGGAAGGAGGGACAAGAAGGTTGGAACAAGGGAAATAGGACATTTAAATACGTCTTCTGGTCATTTGCACCAGTGGCTGAGACGTTTTTTGAATGTCCACCGGTCATTTGTATCGATGGAACCTTTTTGCGTGGTGGATACAAGGGTAAATTGCTTGTTGTGGTGGTCTATACCGCAAACAAGCACATTTTAAGGTTTTCTAAAGGATTCGGATTTCCGAAATCCGAGCTCAGATTTTTTTTTGAATTTGCAAAGGACTCGGATTTCAGAAATCCGAATTGGTGAAACCCATCCGAGAGTTGCAATTTGAGGAGAAACAGGGGAGACTCGGATTTCCGAAATCCGAGCTCAGACTTTTTTTTGAATTTGCAAAGCACTCGGATTTCTGAAATCCAAATCGGTGAAATCTATCCGAGAGTTGCAATTTGAGGAGAAACAGGGAGACTCGAATTTCATAAATCCGAGTTTGACGGGCCTATATATTCCCGGTCAACTTTTCCCCCTCCCATTTTTCCCCCAATTCTAACAATTAAACAACCCTAACTCTAAACCACCGGCAACTTCCTCCTCCCACCGGCGACCCTCTCTCCTTCCGGTTCCATCTCTCCCATTGGCGACTCCCTCCTCCCACCGGTTGTTTTTGGCCGAATGTATATGGTTTGGTTGTTTTGTTTATTTGGCCGAGTGTATATGGTTTGGTAATTTTAGTTTTTGGCCGAATGTATATGATTTGGTTGTTTTGTTTATTTGGCCGAATGTATATGGTTTGGTAGTTTTATTTTTTGGCCGAATGTATATGATTTGGTTGTTTTGTTTATTTGGCCAAATGTTTATAGTTTGGTAGTTTTATTTTTTGGCCGAATGTATATGGTATTTGGTTAGTGCATCATTGTTTTGCATATTTGGATTGAAATGGCGACGCCGACATCGGGCTCGCAATATGAATATCAACCTAAACATCTTCACTCGGGACCGATACAAGATAAAATGCTTTATCATCAAACAAAGCATAGGTCCCAAGCTGTCTATGAGAACAAGATACCGGACATTAAAACATTCCGCCTCAAGAGCCGTAGATACGATAGCGATATTTGGGGAATATACAAAAATACGGCACCGGAGGTTAAGGAAGTCATAAAGAGAGCCGGTTTTGAGGGGATCATGAAAGTAGGCCACAAAAAAGTGGATCTCGGTCTCATTACCGCGTTGGTGGAACGGTGGAGGCCAGAAACTCACACTTTCCATTTCAACTTCGGAGAGGCGACTGTGACACTACAGGATGTCGAGGTCCTCTTTGGTATTCGGGTGGATGGTGAGCCGGTGTACGGGACGACAGTTAGCCGGACTGCAGATGAATTGCGGGATCGATGTGAGGCTTATTTGGGATTCCGGCCAGCCCAAGTAAATGGGCAATATGTCAATATTGGTATTTTCAAAGATGAGATGGGCCACGCACTCCCTGAGAATTCCACCGTCCATCGATTCGAGCAAAGGGCCCGGACACTTATATTGCATTTTATTAGCAGTTTCATGTTTCCTAACAAGACGCAAAACACTGTCAATCTGCAGTTCTTGGCCCAGGTTGAGGATTTGGATCAGTGTAGTCGATACAGTTGGGGATCGGCACGGCTGGCTGGTTTGTACTCTGGACTGTGTGAGGCATCATAGTACACCATGCACGACGCCACTGGCTGCCTATATTTGCTACAGGTACGTATTAGTTTTCAATTGGTGTTTTAATTATTTTTCGCTTTCGATGTTATAATTTGAAATTTTAACATTATTATTGCAATTTACTAGTTATAGGCGTATGAGCGGATCGAGATAATCGTGCCACATAGAAAAGGAGTAGATTATTTGATTGATGAGACCGCTCCATTAGCTCAGCGGTACGTATTTTCAGTTCAACATAACTCAATGTTTATTTCTATTTGTTTCTTATTCATTTTTTTAACTAATTCAAATGTACCCCTTTGTTCATTAAGGTGGGAATGTCGGTACACCTACGGCGACGTCCCAAGGAGTAGCACCCCGCCTTTTAGAGATCAATTAACAAGCCTGCGTGTTGAAGATGTAAGTACTTGTAATTTGGCATTTACATTTACTTTGAATTTCTTTTCGTTCCGGTTATACCATCTAATGAAATTCTGTTCGTGCAGTTTCGGTGGCAACCATATGCACATGTCCTTCATAGACTCCCTGATTTCTGTACACAAGGCCAAGCCATTTGGACGACCAGGTGTTGGATGTTCTGTTGGGCTATTAGGGAACCCCACGAGACGGGCAGAGTTGTGAGACAATTTGGATACATACAGGATGTTCCCAAGCGCCCTATGATTAAAGATAACGCAGCATTCCTTCTCGATCACGCCCACAGTATGTCTGGGTATCCTAGCAACAATTGGGTGGACCACCATTCTGTAGTACGTCGTCATTGGAATAGGAGAGAAAAGTACGTGCTACGAGATTTGGAGGAAGGAGACCCTGGCTCTGTATATGACGGGTACTATGAATGGTTCATGGTAAACACTGTCAGACTGATATCCAATCCCGGTAATTATGAACCTCAAGGATACGAGACTTCTTCGAGCCGAGTGAAATTATATATGAGTTCATTCTATATTTCTTTTATTATTTCTTATGTTTTCATTTTATTTTTTTTTCATTTTTATTTTTTTAGAATTTTACGCTCTTAATTAACGTCCCAATATCTTTTCAGGGTGAAGTATTGAACAACATTCGTGTGAAGATGAGAATCTCCTAGACGAAGAACTCGACAAGCATTTGGACAATATCATCAATCAAACACATGCTGCTTTAACCCTGGGTGCAAATGATGAGATGGAGGTGGAAGATACCCAAATCCTGGTTGATGAAGATCCATCTTTGCCCTCACAACCTGCGCCGGGTAAAAAAGCGAAACCGTGGTCGAGAGATAAGATTGGAGGAGGAAGAAAGAGGATGGTCCCAATCCCCCCTCGGACATCAAAACAACAAACTGAGGGTCAACAAAATGAGGATCAAGCACATTCTTCTCGAGGCTCGCGCATCCAGGTCGAGACTCATTTTGAAGACGTTGGTGGACCCGAGACTCAGTTTGACCTTGGTGGACCCGAAACTCAGTTTGGTGGACAATCACAACCACAACCAGGAGTCAAATTTCTCACCATGGGGGAGTCCCAATCCCAACCCCAACTCGAGGCTCAGTTTGGTGGACAGTCGTAACCACAAAAGAGTTCAATACTCACGTATCTTAAGAGGGGAGACAGGATCCGGTAGGGCCCAAGCAAATACACTCCGGATGCGCACAATAAAGGAAAAGGGAAAAAATGAGACATTTGATGTATTTTGCACATTTAAAGAAGTTTTTGTATTGATTTTGGTATGAAACTTGATTTGTTTTATTGTTAATCGAATGTCGTTTATTGTTTTGTTGCCATTAAATTTCTGTTTTCCAATGTTTCATTGTTGTTGGTGCTGTAAACAGGTTTAGGATTGCTGAAAACCAGTCCAATTTTTTTTCAATTCTGACAAAGACTCGGATTTGCGAAATCCGAACTCAGACTTTTTGTAAAGGATTAGGATTTCAGAAATCCGAGTCTGTAGCCAACTAAGAGTTAGCATTTTTTAGAAAACAGAGGAGATTCGGATTTCGGTAATCCGAATCTACGTATATTCGGATTACCGTAGTCCTGGTTTTCCCAAATTTAATTTCTCAACACATATTTTTTTCTATCCGGAAATTAATATTTTATTCGTAAATACGGATTTAGAAAAACCGGATTTAGATGAATTAAACTAATTTCTGTCATTAACTTAATATCGGATTTACGTAACACAAAATCGGATTTTTATAATCTGAGTTTATTGAGGTTCGGATTTCCGAAATCCGAGTTTCACCTCATTCGGATTTCTTAAATCCGGGACATATAAATTTGTCCACAAAATTTTTGAAAGATTTATTTTTGTCCAGGTATATATAAGGAATATATTTAAGGAAAAAATTCCAGAAAAAATAGGAAAGTTTTCAAGTAATACCTCTTCCTGAATATCATCAAGTGGCTCATCAATAAGCTGAAACCCAGACTTTTTGTTCTGTTTTCCTTTCTTTTTCTCCTTTACAGGTCCAGCCACAATTTTTTTCTTTCCCCGTAACTTTGTTGGTTTAGGATTTGCAGGCCGTGACAGACTCTGAAAGGGAAATAAACAGTAGACTAAAGCAATCACAACAAAACCATTCCTATTAACTTTGGGAACATCCTGTCCAATCAGGTGCGCATTCTTCAGAATTTTAATAGGTTGAGACATACTCTGAAATGTTAATAAGGAAAAGACAATATTAGATCACTAGATATAAATAACATAATGCACATTTCAGATCAAGAATTGCAATTCTTATTCGAAATACACCTTCTGTTTTCCCTTGGATGTGCTTGTCGATGCACCAATAATCTGAACATTGCTCTTTCTCCCTTTTACAGAAAGCTGTACAAAAGATGAAAATTTTATTACAAGTAAAACAATGTTTACAACAAGTTCATTGCTGTATGACACTAGGTTTATTATGTTTTCCCTTACATCTTTCAGTTTTTTTCTAGGGCTTTTCCTTAAAGCTGGCAATGGCACTTGTTCTGCACCAGCATCTATTCCAAATTGCTGCAAAATAGAATGGGTGATTTTCTGAAGATGGAACTGTATTCAGAAATGCCGTAAAGTATAACAAAAATTAAGTAAACTTGCATGTACCACTTTCTGTTTCTTCGTCAACTGTTCTATTTTAATTGCTGCTTCAGCTTCAATAGCCTTTATTTCCTTAATAAATAAAGAAACATTATATAGTAACACTGCCCTAAAACCATCTATGAAAAAAAATATTTGCAACTTTAATTTGTCTTACTGCAACGATGTCTTCATTAAGATCATCTGACTGTGTTTTGCCCTCATCAGGGACTATCACTTTCCTCTTAACCTGTTTGTACACATACATGTTAGAAGGGAACATCAAATTATTATTTTATACCAAAAAATAAAAAGTTCAAGTTTTGCTGTGAAAATACGTCCACGTCAAGCTGGACCACATTCGAAAGGTCATCAAAATTGCTGGCAAGGTCGACAACCCCATCTACAAGTTCAATGAAAGGGCACGTTATCTCGTTGTGACCTAGGATTCCATATGACCCACACTTATCTGAGGTCTCAATGCTTTGGTTCTGAATTTCTGCTTGGTCATTTTGTGTCCCTTGCGAGGCTTTCCGTGAAGGACACGTTCTCTTATTATGTCCTGAAATTTGACATGAACTGCAAGTGATTTTCTTCCCAGACCTACTCAGTTTCTGTTTTTGATCTTTCTCAATGATTCTTTCAGCAGGGTTTTCTTCCGTTTGTCTCTTTGGCCTCCCTGGACCTCTTCCATAAAGTGGTGCAAGTAGTGGTTTTCCAGGTGCCTTTTCCCATTCCAGTTCTCCTCTCATTGGTTGTATAGTGGGCTGATAACAAGTTTGATAGGCAAGGAGACTATAGCAGGGATGCACAAAATCCATTGGATCTTTATCAACACTCCAAGCTGTTGCAATGACATGTGGGCAAGGTACCCCACAAAATTGCCACTTTCTACAACTACAAGTCATTTCTTGCAAGTCCACTGCATATTTTCCATTATCTCCTACACCCCCCCTCAACCTCAGCATGGAACTCATCATGTGGAGTAGGATGACATTCTGTAGCCAACTTCGAGTTGTTCATCATTCTCTTAAAAATTCTAGGACACACTGCTCTTTCACTCCACAACCCATTAGCCTTGTGTCTATTTTCATACCACCTCTCAACAAGAATCTTTTTTATTTCATCTAGCATACTGATTATAGGCATTGATCTAGCATCTCTAATCATTGCAATGAAGGACTCACAGTGATTATTTAGAAGGATATCACACCTTGCCAAGAAGCTGAAGAAGGCTCTACACTACTCTGACTTTGGTTTATCTTCCAACCAAGCTGCTGCATTTGGATTTAACTAGGCTATCTTTGCGAAGTTCTCAATAAACTGATTCTCAGTTGTGGATTTAGCTGCTGCCCATAACAATTGTCTAAGTGCTTCACCCTTATACCCTTGATCAGACCAATTACGGTGCATGTGTTTAACACAGAACCTGTGTGCAGCTGTTGGAAACACCTTTTCACAAGCTTGTATAAGGCCTTTTTGCTTGTCACTCATCAAAGTCCAGCCACTATCTGTTTCAATCTTTAAATCATTTTTCAACAGATTAAGAAACCATTCTCAAGTGTTAAAATTTTCACCCTAAGCTACTGCCCATGCAATGGGATAAACCCCATTGTTTGGATCAACTCCAACTGCTGTGAGTAAAACACTTCTGGTTGCCCCCTTCAAAAAGGTCCCATCTAACCCTATAATAGGTATGCAAGATGCTAGAAATCCATCCCTAATGGCAGCATAACAAATGTACAATCTTAAAAATCTTTGCTGGCATGTAGTCTCACTCACAAACCAAGGATCTGGAACCAAATCAACAGTAGAACCAGGGTTACTCCTGAAAATTTCCCCACAGTAATCCCTCAGTTTTGCATACTGATCTTCCACAGAACCATACACAAGTCTCAATGCTACCCGTCTTGCTCTATAAGCTTGTGATTTTGTGAGGAAGAACTTGTACTTTTCCTTGGCTAGCCTCTTGAATCTCTTGGTTGGGATGGTAGAGTCATCTTTTACCAACTGTGTACATACCCTACCAGCAATGGTTGATGTCACACTTTTGTTCTTGTGCCTGAATTTGCACTTGTGACGATGCACAAAAGTAGTCACCACAGGAGATCCACTGCACATGCTCACAAATATCTCCCAGTCACATATCTTTTTCTTTTTGCCATCCTTTATGATGTAGGCCATCTGACACACAGCTTTAATTCTCTGTTTGTCATTCTTTTTGAATCTCCATCTTCTACCTCTTCTAATATTCTAGCGCCGAATTGCTTCCTTGCATTCCTGCCCTGAACTGAATGTCAATCCACATTGAAGGGGTGGTTTTTCCATAACCTGGGGGTGAAACACCAATGGTTTCTCTGCCACATCTTCATCCGAGCTCTGTAAACTTTCTAGGTCTTCCTCAGAATCCGATTCAACTTCAGATCCACTATCCTTGTCATAGTTCCCCTCATCGTACTTGTAATTTATCAGTGGTTTCTGTTTACCAGCAACAACTAATGATGAAGGTTTATCAATTGCACCCCCTTGCTCACCCCCTCCAAGATCATTATCATCATCATACTCATTTCCACTTTCTCCCTCTTCATACTCAGTATCTCTTTCATCCCAGTCACCATCACTACTATCAGTATCACTTTCACTGACCACATCATCAGCAGTCGTATCATCAGCTACCGTCTCGATGGGATAGTCATATAATATGAGAAGTCTATCCCCAGCCAAAGCATCCCTGACTAACTGTTGCACTTTTGCCTCAGTAATCACCTCCTCCAGATCAGCATCATCTCTCTCATAAATGGAGTAAAACTTGGTTCCCCCATTGTTCCCAGAAGCATACTCACACATAGTCCGCAACTGAGAGAGCACCAAGCCATTAGCATCAACATGATCATAAACACTTACTTCCCCACCAACATAATGTGGATATGGTACTTTCTCTACTTCCCCAAGGTGGAAAAACTATATTGTCAACAGGTTGGTACTCCTATCTGTACATGACAAAATATACACAACATCAGGACCCTACCTTGCTGCAATTAGTTTACTAAAAATAATAGCATGCAATTACTTTACTAAACAATACCAAAATAATAGTTTAATAGTTACAAGGAAGGGACATACTGTCGACATTTCATTTTCAATTACAGTGTTCAATGGACCACATTCACAAATCTGCTTAAATAATCCTTCCACTTGACAGAACAGATTAAGTAATTGAACCCTAACCCCACATTCATAAATCTTCTAAAAAAGTACAACCCTTTAACCAGACAAATCAGATTAAATTGAACCCTAACCCCACATTAACAAATCTTTTGTCGATTTTCACTCATGCAAAAACCCTACTTCACTCAAAAATCCCATCTCGAAAACAAATCTATGATAACTAAAGCATGGGAACCATAAAACTTACCGTAGTTAGGAACTGGATCATTGTTGTTGTTTTTCTCCCTCAGTCGAGACATCCAACAATCCCTTAAAGATATCGCTTTCCCTTGGCTTTGATTCAATCAAGCTAGATGCAAGGATTATTTCATGTGAAATTGAACGGATTTTTATGAATCGGGTGACATTTAGGGTTGGCAAAAGGGAGATTTTGCCTTGGAATCCCGTTGGCTTTTTTTGTTTTGGTGACTTAGGAAAAATTGGGAAAGTTCCTTTCAGTTTCCCTTGCTTTTATTAAACCAAAAATCAGAAACAATGGTAAAAATCGTAGTCAACCTTTGCCTGGTCCACAGTAAAAAAAATTCTTAATTTATTGGGGGTGTAACGTTTTTGTGATACATTCCGTTAAGTTGTGAAAAAATCTGTTAAAAAGACTGAAATTGACGTGGTTCATGTTTCAGGTGACTAATTTTGTTGAGAAAAAAAAATAGGTGACTTACCTGAACTACCTCCCAAACTTTGGGGCCAATCATGTTGAAAGCTCTTATATATATACATATACATATATATATATATATATATATATATATATATATCTTGGGAAAACCCAAATCCGAAGGAGAGGGCCCTCAAACGACGGGCAAGGAAATTTTAGGGTTCGCTATTTTTATTTACTCGAGAAAAGGAGAAGGGAAAAAGGGGGAAAAAAAGGAAAATCCCCTCAAAATGAGGTCGCTTTGGGGAGAGAAAAAGGTCAATCTTACTATATGTTAAGGGAATTTGTTTCAAAAGATATATGTCAGTCAGTTGGACCATCGATAATTTTCAGGTGCACGTGTCAACTTTTCATTCGTTGAGTTTGTTCTACTGTAGACATGTCATATTCTAATTCGTTAATTTTTTTAATAGGATATTTTATATAAGTAATGTGGTTATTTTAAACAGTTAAATTGGTTATTTTCTATTAAAAATAACTTTCTTCGAATCATCAAACTGACCGGGAAATTATCTCTGGCCACAAACATCTTCGGACATGCCAATTTCAAATTTCACTTCATCGCAGCTCATCTCCGCCTGAATTCCGAATCATCAAACTGACCGGAAAACAATCTCGGAATATATATATATATATATATATATATATATATATATATAGCGGCACCAATCTTCGAATCATCGAACTGACCAGGAAAATATCTCCGGCCACAACGATCTCCGGAACGCCAATTACAAAACATGGAGGCACTTACAACGATCAGAGTATTTAACGGCATCTGAAGAAAAATGCTTCTGCATGAAATTTTACAAAAAATTGCCAAACAAAACATCTATGGCCGACTGTCCAGGACACTGGCCAAAATGGAGTTCAGGAGGGAAGAGATGATGAATCCAAAATTATCGATGCAATCCTTCGAAATTTTGTCATTCCATGAACCGCAGCCATCTTCCATTTTTGCAAATTATAAATTTAATATTGGGCCAAGTTTGAACGAATAATACCCGATTTTTTTTCCAAATTTACAAACCTGATTCGCTTCACGTATTGATCTTTTGAGACTGTATTGAAGGAATTTATTCCTTTTAAATATTTAGAAATAAGATACTAACTTGAATCACAATTAGTGTAGGAAACTATCTTTCGAGATTAGATTTAGGACTTTTATATGTAATAAATTTGACCGTGAATTACCATGCTTGATGCACCATTTTTGTCTATTATTAGGACTATTTCCAAATGGGATGAGATTAGTTTTTAATTCAAAATATCGGTTATAAATGAAAATTATCTTTAACTATCTCTCCTACAAAGATTTGATAAGTTCATTGAAATATCAGCTTAATTATAGGACCTTCAGAAAATTAGTTGAACTTATTGAAAATTTAAAAACCGAATGGTATGAGTTTGTTGAAACCCTTGATCTTATCCCTTCTATTAAATACATAAAGATTATTTTTTTCTCTGGATACCCTAATAGATTAAATCTTCGGTGCTATAAATACCAAATAAGTGAGAGTCTCACATATACTTCTTCTTTTTCATATTTTGCCGTGTGTAATTTTGTGTGAATCAGGTTGATTAATATTTGTTTTGATTATTGTTCGGCCATAGCCAAAAAAATAAATAAATAAAAATTACTTACGAAGTTGTTGATTTGGAAATTACTTTCCAGATCTAAAGGCTAGGGTTTCAAAAAAAAAATTATTATACCCTAGATCTATTATATTTTGCCCGAGAGCAAGGGTTTCAAAACACTAAACCCTAATTTGAAGTTTGAATTTTGACATTTGCTCTCTATTTTTCTATTTTAACTGGGAGATTTCTTTTCGTGTTTGTGACATTCAATCTAAATTTGTGTTCTTCTTAGATTTGTTGCAAATACTTAGGGTTGTTATATCATAGAATTCTTGTATGTTCGTTGCTTTGTGTGAAATTCTATTTGCTTAATAACCTCCTTGCATAGTTCGAAGTTACAATGATAGTGGTAAAACAAGAGTGAACCTTTCCCCATACTATATTCTGAACCTTCTCTGAGAGTTATTGGGTTGTGAATAGAATATTTTGGAGGGGTACAAGGATTGTGAGTTCTTCGATATTATTTTCTTTTGGTGTTATGTATCTTTGAAGGTACAATGGTACATTTTACTCTTGAAGATTTGTTGGCAATTCTAAAGTTTAATGCTCGAGAAAACCCAAGTTCAATTTTGTCTTCTGACCAAGTTATTGACAAGGGTTATGCTAACTTCTCACGATATGATCTAGCAAGGAATAGAAAACTGAAAAAGTAAGCTCAACATCGTGAATCTGAACAACAAAGAATAGAAGAAAGAAAAACTAAACAAGGGTAGTGTCCTTGTTTGTGGAGTTCTTTAGATGCCATTGTAAGGGTGCACATTTATCCATCATCGTCATAATCTTTAGGCGGGGGTTGTTAGAGTCGTTACCCTCGGGGTAGCCTCAACTTCACTTTTCTTCTTTTCTATCTTTCCATTCCCTTTTGGTTAGAGTTTTTGTGGCTTAACCTTTTTTGTGTTTTTTTTTCGGGCATTTTGATGTTGTTTGGGGCAAGAATCAAGTCCTTGGGCAAGCTTCCGCATATTTACAAGTAAGATCTATCTTGTCTCGCGCATTAGAATTTGTTTTGCCTATAGTTTCCACTATTGGCCGGATAAATTCACATCAGAAAGTTAGACATATAATGTTTAGAAAAACAAGAAAATAAAAATTGAACTTATTGCAAGCAAGGTTAAAGTTTGATTTGTACCTTAAAAAAAAAGGTCTGATTGATACATTTGTTTACCTTGGGGGTTATCATAAAGGACACGCAAATTTTGGAAAAAAAAAAAAACAAAACACAAAAAATGTAGAAACACCACATCTAATTTAATTTGTTCATGTAATTTCTCGGCTCAACTCATAACAAGACACGTAATTTCAGGTAGAACTCAAAATGACACATTAATGAAATTATTTAATGTACAATAGAGGTAAATTAATTGGAAGGTAAACACCATGAAAAAAATGAGAAATTCTTCCAATTCTATACCTATAAATTACTAGCTCGAGACAGACTATTAACATATAGCATCAAATGAGCTGAGCATAAAAGCATCTTGAAATACTTCAAAATATCATCAATTGGCTAGCAACTTTGAACAGTGGAGAAGTTACATATGGCGAACACTGAGAACAACGGAGGAGGACGGCAGAATGGAAGAAATGGCAACCCCCCAAATCCAACTCCAAGCGTTACTCCGGCTCAAAGGAAGACAGTGGCTAAGAAAATCGGTGAAATAGTTTCTAAACCTTTCGAGCCTAAGAGGGTAAACCCTTCGAACTAATGCTGCAGCCTACAGGTCATGATCAAATAAATATATACTATCTTTTATTTTGAAATGGTCGTCCTTAAACTTTTATTTTTAGTACAAATTATATTAAAAATGAGATCTAAACAGGATAATCATTTTGGGATGAAGGGAATTTATATTTGTGTTCTGCTACCATGTAAAATTGAATTAATTTTCTTACTTTGTTGTAAAATTTGTCTGTGATTGCCAATTTTGATCTTTCAAATTAAATGTAATAGTCAATTTTATTGTAATAAATATAAATGTAATAAAATTGGGACATGTAATTAATGTACTGTATACTCTTGTGCATGCATGGTGGAATTTATATAGTGATTGGTTTGGTTTTAAGTTAAGTTGTGAAAGCTCTTTTTAATGGTGTCTTATTCAGAAACTGTGTTTGTGATCAAATTTTGTTTCCAATGGATCCGAACGAAGGGACAGCGGATATCTTCTTAGCCTAACCATCATTTTCCACCTTCCATTTGCATCATTACTGCGGAAAGCATAAATATTCAATTTTCATTGATTTAAATCCGTAGTTCTGCTTGTGTGCCCTTGTTCATGGGCCATTTTCTCCCAGCAAAATATTGTCACAAGAATTAGTTAGATTCAGCAAAATAAATGAGTCAGTATTTTTCCTTGGAATATTTTCCATCTGGTCCAGTCATTAGTAGGCTTATCACACAAGCCCAATTGCTTGATTTAGGAAACATTTGATTCTCATAATTTGGTTGCGGAAGACATGGTAATGATTTCTCGCATCATTTTTTTTGGTAACATATTTTTTTTTTGTAACAGTACAAGGAAATTGAGATGTATCTTTGCTTTGGAAAAAGAGCCTTATATGGCATAATTTTATGTTACTTCTTAAATCACCGAATTATATTTTGACATATGTCCATTTCATGTTATCTAACCTCTTAAAATTTAACTAATACCATAGTTCAAAGGTATGGTAATGAGTCGCCAGGAATTCTTTTTCGTTTCTCAAAGATTTTTTAACATGTTTTAGTCGTTTGAATAAGTCAACTTTTTTATTTTTCTCTTTTAAGGATAAGTAAATTTCAGCAGCGAGCGGAAAATTTCCTTAAAAAATATTTGTGAATGATACATATCCGCCTTCTACAAAGATTTTTTTTCCTTTTTTCTTTTTCTATGAGATTTGATTTGTTTCCTTTTCTTCCCATTTTCCACTTTAGTCCTTTTTTTTCTTTTTTTATTTTATTTTAATGAGCCTTCAGCAAAACTCCAATGCGGAGTACCGAAAATTTTAGTTTTTTCACGTTTTCTTCGGAACCTTGTCCCTCCATCCCTAAATTGGTTTTTTCCATGTTTGCGACCTATTATGGACAGGGTCACATAGATAAGGGTTTCCACACTTCAGATCTGAAATAAGTAGGGTCTAGAAATCGTGGCGTTTATTCTGTTCAACTTTTTCTTTCCCCAAAAGAAAAGAAAAAAGTTTAATCGAAATCGATTTGTGACGTGGGTAGAAATTAGGGTCTGCGGAGATTTTTCACCTGCCAATTATATATAATTGAGTTCGATTCTGGCAGATTTCCGGTTGGTGTTATGATACTGAACAAGAATAAAAAATTCAACTTTCGACACATTGTTTGTGACATCAATGTCTCCGGCTGAACCGGTAGATATCTACCTTTCAAACTTACTCGCAAGCTTTTTCGACAAAAGGGTCCTTGTTTGCTAAAAGATGGTCGGAAACTACTTGGAACACTTCGATCTTTTAATAAATTCGCAAATTCAGTTTTCGAAGATACATATGTACGCGTTATTGCGGGTAATCGTTACTGTGATATTCCGTTAGGGTTATATGTGATTAGAGGGGAAACTCTAGTTCTAATCGGCGAACTTGGGACCGACAAGGAAGAACTTCCCTCGCACATGACTCATGTTTTGCCTTTAGAGATTAGGAGCGCTGAGAAGGCAGAAAGGGATGCTTCAGATCCTAAAGGTACAAAAGCGAAGCGAATCGAGTTCCCTAATATGGATGATTAAACATTTTTTATCTTCTCTCTCTTTAGTACCTAGTTCTATCTTTAAAGGGAATTGTTGTAGGTTGCTAGTTTATTTTAGGGTTTTATTTACCCAGTTTGTTTGATTTCTTTGATCATTATGATTATAGTGTAGATATTTGAAGTTTTTTTTTTTCTATTGGTCTTGGTCTTTTACTTATCACACACCTCTTGCGACATTACCTAATAGAAACTGATACATGCTTGCAAACAATCTCAGACAAAAGTGTGTAATTCGTGAGGTGCAATATTTGGCCAGGCGTAAAGAAAAAAGATTTAAAGCTTGTTATAACTTGAATAAAGACTGAATTGCTGATAAATTGATGAACTTAAACGAATTATAATGAGTAAATCAAATAAAAAAGACTTGTGAAAAGGTACTGAAAAGAACAATAGGGTGCAAAAAGAAAGAACAGAGCTTTGTAGCTTGTGTTCTGTTTGTGTTGATGATGAGTTGTTGTCTGTGTCGCTCTATCTCTTTCTTTATATAGGGTTCGGTAACTGCTTATGTCGGTGCGATCTTCGATTCCTTATTGAATTTGGTGTTGCCGATTTTGAATTACAATTGTATTTTATTTTCGATTTCCTGTTTCTTTCCCACAATTGTAATTCGTTTTCAACTTGGATTTGGTGTTCTTCGATTCGGAAATGGATTCTCTTATTCCGCGTCGGATGTGGTTTCTTGCAATATTGGGCCGATTCACCACTTTTGTTGGACTTGCTCGATTTTAATTAAAAATCGGTGGTAACATAAAACCCCCCCAAGGCACAGCTCGTTTTCTGTGTGGTGTGCCTTTTGAATCCATCGGGCCAACAATGAATCGGTCCATAAACAACAACCCATAAGTTGGATTGAAAAATAGTGTACGGTGGCCCCCCAGTCAAAAGCGTGACGGGAGTAACGATTTTGGGTGATAAATCTGGAAGAGATCTATACAAAAATGAACCATTGGAAGGACGTGTAGGGAATCGAAATCCAATCTTTCTGCGAATCGAGGAGAATCATTTGCTTATCAACGCTGCTTATCCACAATAGTCATTCCATATCTGTTTTCGATTTTTAAAATTCAAAAACGCTAATTCCTTCTCCTGTTCATCATTTTCACCAAAGCAAATCCCAAACCGGCAAAAACACAATTTTTCTAAATTGCCATGTCTGAGATATATGCAGTGAAGTTTGATACGGAATTGGCAAAAACGATGAAGGTAAAACAGGAAGAGCTACTGGCCTTATCACCGGATTTCCATGAATTGCTCAATCCACATTGACTGCCGGGTCATTATTCGCTGGGGCCTAATTTTATGGCCGACAACGCCACGCTCCGTCAATATATTCCGGTGCTTCATCCATAAAATCCATCCCATAGGTTTTTGTGTACCGGGTTCGGGCGTATCTGAGGATGGCCATGGACGTTCACCAAGAATTCTGTAAGTGGGCCAAGATGATGGAAGGAGGCCGGCATATATGATCTGATTCAATTTTGCTAGATGGGTGTTTTTGACAACAAAGTGTTGTTGGGGGTGGCGTCGAGATTCTGGTGCAGCTCCAGCAATGTCTTCTGTTTCCGTTGGGGTTTAATGACTCTAACCTTGCTAGATGTGGCAGTAGTAATCGGTGTTCCAGTGGTTGTTGATGTGACAATAGACGGAGACAGTATTGTGGTTTTATATGTATTTTCCTCAGTTAAGGGTAGCAGAGATTAATCCACTAGGAAATCAGTCGTTGTGTCTTAGTGTAATCCATACTGGTGTAGCTAGATACAACAGTAAGTTTGTAGCCAGTGTGTTGTGGGACTCGATACCGGAGTTATCTGTGATATTGAAAGAATTGTCACATAAACATTGACATCCTACTTTCGGCGAACAAAGACAAGTTGAAGCTGAGTCTGGAAACTGGAATGATGATAGTGCATCTGGATTGTCGAATGGTGGAAGAAGATATTCGTACCCAGGGACCTGTATTATGGGTTAAAAGTCTATCTCCACAGACTGGTGAGTGTCATATGCATGCTGAGTATTATCCGACTGTGATGGTGGCTAGACAGCTAGGCTTAGTGTAAGGTATCCCCTTTTTTGATGTAGCATGCAAACACACTTGGGAATCTAGTTGGGGGAAGATAACCATACTTGAGTATTATGAGCAAAGGGAGATCATGGCCAAGAGGTGTCACTTTAGGAAAGTGGTGCCTTTTGATAGTTCCTGAAGCATCTATTGCGTTTTACATCTTTTTGGAGGAAGTACTGCGCACTATGTATCCACAGGCTCTGGATGGTATTCTGCAGGATGTGTTGCCCATCGACTCAGACATCCCAAAGCCCCATGTAGTTGATGTACAAGCTCTGTCAGGTGATGACACATTCTTTCTTTGTTAGGAAAGGGTATTTGCTGTAGATCTGAGCTAACACATGAATACTTGTGATATAGTGTTGGTAGGTCAGACTCCTGTAGCCACCGAAAGCAAGAAGAATCTAAAAAGGAATAAGACAACAGGTCCATCGCAACAAGTGAGGCATCGGACATCTGCCCGATTGACAGGAAGAAAGAAAACATATGATAGTAGTTCCAAGGTGCGTAAAGTCTTTTGTTACTGCCTAAAAGCTTGTAGAAGATGGTGCTTTGCTTGGCTGGAATGCATTGTAATCGTCGGTGGTGTATGCAGAAACGTGTGGAAATGGTGACTTTTTTGTAGAAGAATCAGATGCTAGTGACAACAAACAAGCATCAGATTCAGTGGAAGAAGATGTTGGTAGCAGCCCTGAACAACTTGTCTCTCCATCGTCAAAATGCAACCAGGCTCCAGGACATCGCAAAGAAGTACAAAGCAAACCAGTATCACTGCGTCAATTCCGACAATTGAAGAGTTGCAACAGCGTTTGTTCCACAAGATGGAGGAAACAACACTAGTAGTGAAAACCAGTGGTAAGGCCGCACAATCTGTGGGAGCCGCCTTGAGAGAGTTGCAAGGTTTGTCAAAAATCAGCGCAGAACAAGTCCATGCTAAGTACCATCAGTCGCTGAAACAAGCACTGGAAACCATCCAAGGGAGTGAACTGCCAGAAGCGGTAAAGGCGACAGTTGGTCTGTTCTTAGCTAATTTTGAGTAGAGAAAGATCAGCTGTGAAATCAATGTGAAGCATGTGGAAGATTACAACCATGCATCTATGGCACATCTTGAGGCTAAAAAGACAGTAAAAACCCTGGTGGAGCAGGCGGCTGCGACTGCGACTCAAGCAAAGGAGTTGGCGGCAAAACAAGCGGCGCTGGAAGCAGACTTGAAAACCGTACGAGAACAATGCCAAAAAACTAATCTTTTGTACAAGAAGATGGCGCAGCAATGTGCAGAGGCAATCAGTATGCGGGATAAACGGGCACAGGATACAAAGGACCGGTGCAATATGAGAATGCCCAGCCCATTATCACAGAAGCTACCAAGATGTGGAACTTCCTGAAAGGTGCGTTGAAAGACATCCCTGTGCCAGCAGAAACTCCCTCGCCTAGTGCAACTGTTGAAGCAGACAAAGGTGGCGATCAATCTGAAGTTTAATCAGCTCCTGGTTTTGTTGCTGGGGAATCAAGTGGTACCGGTGAGGGCAATCCAGATCAAAACCAACCATAGATCATGCCACCTGCGTGTGATTCCAAAAGAAGGCGACTTGTGCCAAACACTTTTTTTTTGTTTTGTTTATTTGTTGTTTGTCCTGTTGAAGTCTTGTCTGGATTTGATACTTTTACAAATATCATTTTGCCGCAATGTCAGTTGCTTGTTCTTTATGTTGTGCATCCAACTGTTCCCAACGAGAAAGGTAATACTTCTTTAGATACGTAGCATTTATAGATCTTCCGCTGATTTTTCCATCGAAGGTAGGTAAAGTATACACATTACGCCCTAAGTGATGATGGATAACAAAGGGACCTTCCCACGTTGGCGTCCATTTATCGTATTTAGGATCACGTTGTCCAATAGGCAAGACTGTTTTCCAAACCTTCTCTCCGACCTTGAAACTACATTGTCAGACATTTTTATTATATTGCTTGATAACCAAAATCTTCTCATCTTCAATTTGTCTAGTCGCATTAATCCTGATTTTCTCTATCTGGTCTTGCTGAATCTGCATACTCAGAGCATAATCGACAGAATCAATCGGATGCTGACTTGTAAAACAAAGAGATGGGATTAAATGCTCGATTGGGACAACTGCATCATGGCCAGAAACTAACTAATGCAGTGTAGCATGTGTTCTACCACGTTTGGACATGCGATAAGCCCATAAAACTTGTGGCAGCAAAGAATGCCAAGGCCTAGGATTATCTGAAATGTGGCAGCTCATGATGTTCTTGATAATCTTGTTACTAGCCTCTGCTTGGCCATTCCCTTGTGCAAAATAAGGAGATGAATGGGTAAAGAAGAAACCAACGTCCTTGGCGAAATCCTGCATTTCTGTGCCAATGAAATATTGTACTTGATCAGTGACAATAGACTCGAGAATCCCAAATCGATACAAGATATACTACCGGATAAATCGGATAACGCTTTTTGATCAACATCTTTCAATGGCACTGCTTCTACCCACTTTGTGAAATAATTGGTGGCTACCAGAATATAATGGTGACCATTGGAAGAAGATGGGTGAATCATGCCGATTACGTCCAATGCCCAAAACCGAAAAGGCCTTGGTTTAACTATAAATTGCATGGGTGCAGGTGGAACTCGTGGAATATCTCCATAATCTGGCAATCAACACAACCACGGGCAAAAGAGATACAATCTTGCATCATGGATGACCAGAAATACCCATGTCGACGAATCAACCAAGCCACTTTTTGTCCACCTTGATGGGTGCCACAAGCACCTTCATGTGTTTCTAACATAATTACTGTAAACTCTGGACGACTGAGGCATTTGAGTAGAATTTCATCGGCGGTCTTGTGATAAAGGAATACATCAATCACCACATACTAGGTAGCACGTCTTCGGGTCTGGA